GCCACGGGACAATTGATGCAACCCGCAACAACATGAACGCACATTTTGTGATAAAAGAGAGTAATCTTATAAAAAAAAATTAAAATCAACTCCTATATATTAAATGCGAATGACTATTTTATGCAAGAGTATCTTAGGAGCTATGACAAGAATATTTTTAAGGATTCTTTTAGTTAACTTCTTAACCACTTCATTATTTATTTATGAATTAAAATTTTAATATTTTAAAATAAATTATCAATAATTAAAAATAATCATGTACCATAATATAAATTATTTATCTTAAATCAAAATATATTCATTAATTTTATAAAAAAAACTTTGTACTTAATTTGGTTGGTTGTATCACGTCTTGACAGTAAGACGAAATAGCTAATAAATTTTTAACTTTAACTTTGTGTTATTGCTTGAAACATGAAAAGACTTTGTTGTAAAGAATATTTGGTAGTTGAAGCCTAGAAAGGCTTTGTTGTAAAGAATACTTGGTTTTTGTAAAGAATATTTTGAAGCCTGTAGAGGATTTGTTGTAAAGAATATTTGGTTGTTAGAACTTGAAAAAGTTTCGTTGTTCAAAGAATACTTGGTAGTTGCTTGAAGAGGCAAGTCAAAGAACACTTAGATTGATTCAAAAGTAGGTTTTGGAAGAATACTTGTATTTTTGTAAAAGATAGTGAAACTTGATTAGGTTGAGTAAGAAATGGACATAGTCTTGGTAGTTGAGACGAACCAGTATAAAAATATTGTGTGTTCTTTGCTCTTGATTCTTTGTTTGCATTCTTAAGGTTTTTATACTACTTAATTATTTCAAAAAAGTATCAAGTTTTTGACTGACAATATTAAACTCCCTTCTAGTGTCTTTCTTTTTTTCACATATAGATAATTTGATTTTTTTATTATAAATTTATTTATTTAATTTTATTGTTATTAATGTAATATAAATTATTTTTTTATTATAATATATGTAACATTGCATGCTTTATGTGCTTTATTATTTAATTATACAATGTGTGATATTTAAATGTGGATTTATTGTATTTGTTGTTGTTTTAAAATTTTAAGGGTCAAGAGATCTTTGAGAGTTAAGTTATTTTTTAGTTGTTTTTAGTTAGGGTCAAGTTGACTAAGTTTAAGAAAAGGTATTTAAGATTTTCTTAAGACTTAAACTTCATAAGTTAATATTCTAAGAAAAGTTAGAGAAGAGTTGGAGAGCTAGGCTCTGAAGCTAGAAAGATAAGGTTTGGGGCTAGAGAGATTCTTTTCTTCTTTTGATTCTACAAGAACATTCCATATATCCTTCCCTTAGTTGAATAGTAGTGGTAGATTGGTGCATTCAAAGTTGTGAGCTAAGAATCAAGGTAGAGTTGATTGTACGGTGAGCTCTCGTGGGACCTCCATTCTCTATCATTCTTTCTTCTTGTTTTCTTGCTTTCAAATGATTCGAGCTACAAAAAGTTTGTTGATTGATGTTGTTGAATGGTATTTGTAGATTTCTAATTAAATTCTTCCAATATGTGGATGTTTTGGGCAAATGGAGAAGTGGAGCTCTTAAGTTTTGGGTTTAAGTTGTTCTTGAGTGTGTTGAGATAGGAATTGATGATCCATGTATGTTAACAATTATATGTTGTCCATTTTGCTGAAATTAATTTGCTTAAGATGTGTAAATTCAGAATTGTTGAATGCATGTTGGATTGAGTTGGCTTTTTGCAGGTTTTGAGCCAAAATCATGATATTGCTTTATGTAGAAATCACCTTCACATCAAGCATGCCTTCATCGTGTCGAGCGTGATGCAGTTTAGGGGCTCTCTATCTCACTTGTGTTAGGTTCAAAATAGGTAGTTTGATTATGAGTTAGTTAGGAGCCTTCTGACTTAGTTATGTCGAACGTGAAATGAGAGGCGTCGGGTGTGATTGTTTGAGGAGTTCTCTAATGTGGTGATGTCGAATGTAGGATCTATGATGCCAAAACAAACAAGTCAATAGTTCTCTATATGAACAATGTCGAGCATGAGTTTTGTAGCATCGGGCATAGGTCAGTCAAAAACTCTCTGCCTAAATAACGCCAAATGTAAGATTAGTAACGATGGGTATGGTGTACATAAGAACTCTCTATCTCATTCTCGCCAAATGTAAGTGGTTTAGTGTTGGGCATAGGTCAACCAAAGGCTCTTTGCCTTATTCACATGGGGCGTTGGGTGAATGACACCAGGCATGGTTATGCTAAATGGAACTTTTGTTTTAGATGCTTAAAAGTTGAAAGTAAGTTGATGACTTACATGATGTTTGATGAGGATTGATTTTAGTTCATTACATATTGACCTATGATAATGTATGATGATGTTTTAAGTTGTTTAAGTTGGAAGTTGGCTATTGTTTGAAGTTGATTAAGTTAAAAGTTGTATACTACTTGAAGTTGTATGAAGTAAATTGTAAGTTGTTAAGTTGTATGATATATGTAAAATATGTTTTAAGTTGATGTTGCATAAAAACTAGAGGAGAGAAGAAATGTTTTATAAATTAAAATATCTCATTGTGTAGATATAAGTTGTGGTGCTCTGAGAAGAAAAAGTTGAAAACCCTTCAATATGTTGCCTCCTAAATGGGAAGTTGTTTCCAAGTTGTCTCCTCTAGGTTTTTCAGTCGAAATAGTGTAGTGGAGGTTGAATTATACTTGCCATAAATGATTATTAAGTAAGGTACAAGGTTAGAGACGAAAATTCCAAACTAAGTATTGGAAAGTGCATAATATTTGGAGGGTAGTCGACCATATAATTTCATATAGGTTTAGTTATACATGCTAAAGTTATGATAGACTCACACTTAAGGTGTTTTTTCCTTGACATTAGTATTGAACTTTCCTAATTTAAGTGGCGAAACTTGAGAAATCAAATTAAGTTGTTAAAGAGGCATGAAGTTGTCTATAATTAACATAGAAAAGTTAGGTTAGACATTGTAGTTCGATAGGATCAAGCCATTTAAATTACTTACCTCAATTATAGGAAATCTCCATAAATTGATATGTGTGACAACACGTTAGTTGTTTAAGTTGTTCATTGGTGTTTAAAGTTGCTTATGTTGAGAATGTTGTATGATGTGAGTGATGTTGAAGTTGTTGTTGAGCTTTAAGCTAATTTGTTGATTTAAGTTTATTATGTTGTTGAAGTCATTACTTTCTTATTGTTGTGTTGTTTCCTTTCACAAGCTTACCCTTATTTTTCCATGTTGTTAAACTATAATAATAATATTTGGTATAAATGCAGGGCAAGATTAGGATTGAAGGGTAGGCTTGGTGGATGGTTATGTTGGAGAGGAGCTTGTTTTGTTATATTATTCTAATTTAGTATTTTGTATAGCGATACTTGATTGACGATTATGTTTTATACTTTTAGTATTTTGTACCTTTGATGTATATTGTATAAATGCATAAGGTTTATATGTAACCCCATAAATAACTTTGTGTTTTTAAGTCATATTGACTAATTATTTTATATTTTTTACATTTTATATATATATTTGTTGCATGACTGTCCAGGTATTATTGTAAGAGAAAAATCTAGTGTAGTTGAACTCTTTTATGTTTTTTGTTGCGTAGTATTGTATTATACTAAGTGTAGAGACCTGACAAGTCGTTACAATATAATGATATATAGTTAAATAGGTTGGCCTAATAGACATAACAAGGGTTTTTATAAGTTTAAGCCCAACTTTTAAAAATAAATATTATTTTTTAAATCCTAAATATGACATTTTTATTAAATAAATTAAATTTAATTAGACTTTAAGCAAGCCAGACTATTGGTCTCTATTTATAGCCCAACCTATTCTCAACGTCATCAAAAAATATGTAGCACTTATTTTAAAGATTTATAAAAAAAATTAGAAATGGTACGTGTAAATAAAGTATCATAAATAGTTGTGGTATCATTTGGGATGATCACATAATCTTCTAACATAAGTTGTTAAAAGTGATCATTAAGGATGGAAACCATAGTTTCAAATTTTAGAAGAATGAAAAGAAAAAAAAATATAGGGACTAAAATCGAAACATGCTCATTTTACAGGAACTAAAAATATATTTAATTCTAAATTATATTTTAATTTTATAATAAACTATTTATTTATAATGTAATATAAGTATATTTTAATTATTTTTAAAATTTAAATTCATCATAAAATTAAAGAAAAAATAAATAAATTAAAAGATATGAGAGATTGAGTAGAAGGATTTAGATGTGAAATGTACAACTTAAAAATTAAAATACTAGTTTAAAAAAAAAACAATAATAAATTGAAGAAAAAAACAAAACAAGATAACAACTCAATCAAGTCACTCAGATCCCTATGTATCTATTATAATTTTTTGGTAGATAGTCTTCTTTTGGTAGATGTATCTATTCTAATTTAAAAATCAGTAATTTATATTCTAATATAAGATTAATTTTGTTATTAATAATTTAATTTAAAAAATTGAAATTCAGTTTCAAAATAAAAACAATAAATTGAAGAAAGATAAACGTTATAAAAAAATCCTAAAAAATCTCACATGGAATTTTTTTTTCCTCTTTTCTAAAAAGAAAACCCTCGGTATCTTTTATAATTTAATAATAAGATATCTAATTAGTAATTAATGCATTTCACATACTAGTTAATATAATTTCTACACATTTTAAAATTTAAAAAAAAAAAAAAAAAAAAAA